TGTGTAGGTCAGAGGGCTGCATATGGGAGTTGGTTCTCTCCATCCTTTCATATGGATTCTGAGGATTAAACTCAGGTCCTTAGGCTTGGCAGCAAACACCTTTATTATCCACTGAGTCATCCTCAAGACCCAACATACATTTTTGTTTGTTTTGTTTTTCAAGACAGGGTTTCTCTGTCCTGGAACTCGCTCTGTAGATCAGGCTGGCCTCATTCACAGAGATCCGCCTGGCTCTGCCTCCTGAGTGCTGGGATTAAAGGTGTGCACCACCACCACCTGGTTTAGAGACTTCTGTATCTTTGATCTCGTCCAAGGCCCAGCTCAGATGTGACAGCCAACACACCATCATTGTCTTCATGTGGTGCTCTCTGAGAATGCAGTCTAGGTGGGCAGCTGATGAACTCTTCAGATAAGAAACTTGAGACTGAGCAGTTGGTGAGCCTGTGGAAGCTTTGCCCAGTGAGGGTGAGTGACAGGAGGAATCTAACACTTCAGTGTTGGCAAGGCTGGAACTTCAAGTTCCTCTCAGAACTGTGGCCTGAGAAGGCATTTTAACAAGTGAGTACGGGAGCTGGTGTCTGCTTTAGCAGTTTGCTTACAGTTCTTTTAGCTGCACAGCTTAGACCATGTGTCTATGTATATATCCATTCATTCATATACATGTACATATAGTTGTGTGCACATGTGTGTTTTGAGACAGGGTTTGTGTAGCCCTGGTTGGCCTAGAACTCCCTATGTAGATCAGGCTGACCTCGAAGTTGGCTTTTATTCATGTATTTATTAGGTGCAAGTGTGCTTCTGAATGGAGATCACAGAAGAGACAGAGATTTGGAGTTAAGAAATAAGGGTTCTAGAATCACACTGAACTGCAGAAAAATAAGTTATTTTAACTGATCTCACAGAATCTTAGTGTAAAGTACAGGCATAATGCTTAGAAAGGCAATAAATACCAGAGCTGGCTACACTATTTTAAAAAATATTTTTATGTTTAGTGTGTGTGTGTGTGTGTGTGTGTGTGTGTGTATGTGTGTGTGTGTGTGTGTGTGTGTGTGTGTGTGTGTGTAGGTCAGAGGGCTGCATATGGGAGTTGGTTCTCTCCATCCTTTCATATGGATTCTGAGGATTAAACTCAGGTCCTTAGGCTTGGCAGCAAGTCCCCTTACACCCTCCGAAACATCTTGCTGGATTCTGGTTACATTATTTAAAAGACGAGTAAAATGCAGAAAAATTATTACAGAGAAACATTTTCAAGAAGGCAGCAGCCAAAGGTCAAGGTGAGCACTGGGTGTGCACTGAGCACGGGCCTCAGGTGACATGGGCTGTTGGTGCCTGACAGGTGGCATGTCCTCCTGTGTGTTAATGATTAATGATGTAGGGCCCTTTCCACAAGTGAGCCCAAGATCCACTTGTGGAAAAGGCATTTAACCCTAAAATAACTGCCCAAGAAAGAGTGTGACAGATACTTACGACACAGTGGTGGGTGCCATTTAGAAGATACATCTTAACAAGGAGCACTGGCAAATGTGGGCTGTCATTGAAGACACAGGTGTAATTTGGAACGAAAACCCTCCCTTTGGATTGGATGCCTTTTGAGAGCCATTACTATTTAAATCATCTTTTTTTCCTTAGCAGAAAAAACAAAGGTTTTTGAATCAGACCTTGCTCATCTAGCTGATTCTAAAATCCACTTCTGACTTGGGCATTTTCAACTTTAAACAACATAGAAGATGCTTCTCATGATTTATCTCATTAAATACCCACCAGGAGTCTTGGGAGGAGAGTTCAATCACTTAGCATGTTCTCACAATGAAAGCCAGAGGAGCTGAATGACTCCCCTGAGATAATCCTGCAGTTAGCAGCAGCCAGCCCTGTCTGGACACAGGATCATGACCCCTAACGTGTCTACCCTACCAGTGAGGTGACCTGCCTGTTCCAGTCTCCAGCTGCTTCAAAGACTGGTAAGGTTTCAATGAGGCTGAAGTATGTTAAGTCTTAGGTGGGTAACATACCAAGACTAGCAAACCATCTGCTGCTTATTCTGAGACACACAGCTTCCCCCTACTCCCCCAGTGCCAGCCACCTCTCAGAGTTGAACAGTTTCATCTTTATTGGAGATGAATATGTTAAAAATCGACCTAAAAGCCCAGTGTTGAGACAGTCATGGATGGCAGAGAAAAGAGGTTGCCTAGGCCTTGAGGCCCTATAAAAATATCAAGTGTTTGGAAAAGGCTTAGCACCCTTGTGGCAGAAATGAGCCACCATCCTCTTGGTTTTCTACAATAGTTTCACTTCGTAGCAGATACGGAGACAGGCTTGTGGGTCTCCTGGTACAAGATGAAGACTTCATTAGGCTGAAGACAGTCTTCCAACCACAGCCCCAGGAGCCTCGATGTCACATTAAAGAGGTAAGGACTTGACTGACAGCAATTGGCTCCACCCTCCAACAATGCATGCAACGGTGTGTGGGCATTCAAGCTTCATACTTTTGCCACTGTGAGTTTACAATGGGCCAGCTGATCAACCCTCTTTACCCTCTGACTA